CTCTTCTCTGCAGACTTGGCCTTATTAGCTGCTCTGATGGCAAATATTCGACCATCAGACATTCTGATGTAAGTTCCTAAAACAGATAAAGAAAGTGAGCAGTATATCATGCTTAAATGGTTCTTTAAGAAACAGCTTCTGCAGCACAACATACATAGTTCAAATGTGATCGTTTTTGTTACTGACTAATCTGTCACCTATCTTTTCCACTAACTTGTGAAATGTTTTGTCTCACTAAGAGCCCAAATTTGAAAGGTATTCACAAAAACTCTCACATTTGAGAAGCTGCAAAGAGTATAATCAAGGGCTTTGGTAAGTGTGCTAATACTGTGTTGTAACTAGTTACCTTTGGTGCCTTTGATGACGTGGATACTCTCTCCAGCTCTGATCTTGGCCTGGACATCTGCTGAGCTGTTGGTGCCTGGAATCATGATATCTAAAAGAAACCAAAAGAAATCATTTTAGAGCAGATAGAAATGTTGACTGTTCTAATATAATGAAGAGAGAAGATTCTGGGGGAAAGGACAGGTGGGATGAGGGAGACATAAGAATAAAAGACAAAAGCAGAGCAAACTGGAGTATATGTACAATTTTTTTTACCAGTAGTGGTGACAATCTTCTGTACGAACACCCCAGCTTTTTGCAGGCAGCTGAGAGGGAATCCTCCAAGACTGGATCCGGACGAATCGTTGCATGGGGCTGAGCCTGCAGACGCATGGCGGGGCATCATGGGAACTGGGGTTGACTGGACTGGTTGGACACTGGCCACTGGCTTCTCCTCAGGAGGAGGGCGCCTGAGCAGAAAGTTAAGGTTTCTTATTAGTTTATAACTTGTGTTCATTTTTAATGCAGATTTAGATGTTATACACTGTTGTTATATAGTTCCCTATGAAAGTTTTTTAAATAGCTGAAATACATCTTTTTTTTTTTTTTTTTTTTTTATAAGCTCCTAAATTGTTGCTTCATTAGAACTTAAAGTGTCAATCTTCCACGGACTGTGAAAGTAAGCATTATCTTAGCTTTGCATTAAATAAAAATCTCTAAATGCAGTTGGACAAAACATCCTAAATGTTTTTGTTCCTGTTTGTTTTTATGCTGGCTGCTATTGAAGCAGAGTCACTAACCAGTTTCTCTGGCTGAAGGCGGGGATATTGGTGAGGCTCTGGTCACTGGCAGGGTAGTAGTAAGCATAGGAAGGGCGGGTGTATGGCACTGAGGCCCTTTTCTCTTCTTCGTAACCCTTCTTAGCAGCATTCTTCTCAGCGCTGCTCAGCTTCAGCTCTCTGCGGTCCATCAGCAGTGACTCATGGGGGAATGGTTGCTGGAGAGGAAAAAGGGCAGATATGAGACAACTTGCTTTTATATGTTTAACTAATTTATAAAAGTGCCAACATCTTGTACTTTTACAAGCTTATACCACTGAATGTGCTACAATAAAATACATTAAACAGCCAAATGGGACATTCTTTGCCGTATGATGCCATCTTAAATGTTGTGATTGCATCTGTTGCTATGAAAGTTTAGTCTGGAAATCATCCACTGAGAACCCAGCAGGTTTAATTATGAGGTGACTCATCACCTCTCAGACTCCAGAAAAACATGAGCTAAGTGCAATGTCTCGGTGTGTTTCTCGCCTCAAATTTGTTCCAAAAATGAATTTTGGTGGGTAATTAGGGAGACCAGAGACTTCTTTAATGAGTACAGAACATTTAATCATCTCTGGCCCACTTAAGATGATAAAGTAAATATGTTTTTAGCCTCAAAAAACCACAATGAACAATGCAAAACTATTGTAGCGATGGAAATAGTCCCATAGTGACAGTGTTTTCCTTGTTGCCCCCTGTTCATTTACCTTGGTAATCAGGTGAGGATAGAAGTGCAGTGCCTTCCTGAGGACACCTTCCATGCTTTCATGGGCCTGCAGCTGAATTGCGGAGGGGTCTGGCTCCTCCTCCACGAAGTGAAGAAGAGACTCCACCTCCCTCCTGGTGAAGGTCAGCACAGGGTTCAGGTCATCCACCACCCTGTCTGATAGAGAAAGGAAGAAAGAGAAGAGGAAGATTTGAGCGGAGCGGGTTTTTAAAGTTGATTTTATAGGGAATACTGGAAAAGATGGAGGCTAAAAAAAAAAGAATAAACTATAAAACAAACAAAAAAAAGGCTGATTCTTACAGCTCCCAAAAACATGAATGGCCTCAGTGTGTCTGCTTTGCCAGTCAAATGGCAAATACTTGAAACAGTTTGTTCTGTCAGACAAGAGCTTTTTGATAGAAAAGCTCTGCTATCAAAACAGAGCTGATTATTAATTTCTGGGGGGGTCTGTTCAAACAGAAGAGCCTGGACGAGGGTTTCAGTAAGTCTGATTACTGACAGAATTGTCATTTGAAGGCAGTGAAATTTACATGGAGTGAGTGTGGTGCTTTATTAGATTTTAAATGCCTTTTGTATTTTTTTTTTTTTTGCTCTAAAAGCTTTTCTTCTTTTTCCCCCTTGGTGTCTGTTTTGGTTTGTTATGGTTAAAAGATCAACAATAAATATTTTAAAAAGTAACTGTGCTGTGCATGAAAAATTTCCTTTGTATGGAAACTCACCAGACATGCCCTGTTTGGAGATCTGGCGGTCATAGATCTTTTTCTCCAGGGTGAAGTCACACACTAGTCGGTAGATGTGACATGGCTTCCTCTGACCGTAGCGGTAGACACGACACACGGCCTGGGCGTCGTGGCACGGGTTCCAGGAGGCATCAAACACCACTACGCGGTTTGCCCCAATCAGGTTAACACCCAGACAACCAGCCCTGCAGACCAGAGAGGTGTATGATTGAGTTATGTTTGTTTAAAGTTGTTACATGTTTCATTCAATTCCAAATTCATTTTCTACTAGGGGTGTTATGAGATCTCATGCCATATTAAAATGTGACGATATTTCTGGTCAAGGCAAAAGCTGTCTTGCAATATCAATACAACCAGAGAAGTAGTGAGTATGATGTAGTGTGACTGTACATTCACATGAATCCAGCAAAAACTCAACTCTCTGCTGTGTTTTAACACATGGGGCTGCATTTGTCAGGGGGTGAGGGGTGGCAGGGGGAATGTTGCAGGTGATTCGATACGGCCACGTTCTGACAAGTCGACATGAGTGGCTTCATTCACATTTCCAGCCTGGGGGTTTCTGGTGTGTTTTGGTTAGCCATGCTGCTAATGTAGCCTACTCTACCTTAGCACCAATTCTACCACCAGTGTGTCTGTACTGATAGATTAAAACACAGTTTAACATCCAGTACTAAAAAAAATTCATAGCATGTCATTATGGGGTGTTAACTGTGGCCCGAATTCAACACTGAAGAGCAGTGAATGCTCATAGTTCATGCATAATTATAAGATCTGAAGACACTCAAGAAATCATACAGTCAGTTGAGTTTGTGGCAAAACCTTGTTTGCTATATGACCATTCATACTCAGAAAGTAGAACTGAAGTGACATACAGTGTCACTACATGAATCATTACAAGAAGGTTAGTTAAAACATTTCAAAAGGCAGCTGCATTGTTTGTCATTTTGTGACTTTCAGTTGAATAAAATACTTTTTCCAGTCATATATTTCATCATTGAAGATTTAAAAAAAAAATAGTGTTAAAATATCGTCTTGTCTCATTCTTGTGAACCCAGTATCGTGTATCGTCTCCTCTTGAGCCAAGCGTAACATCACACCCCTATTTTCTACCATTCATATTTTTGCTGTAGTCAACGTGTTACCTGGTTGACAGTAGAAAGACCCATGCTGAAGTGTTGGATGGATCATTGAATTGGTTTATCAGTCTCTCTCTCTCCGAGGCTGTTGTATTTCCATCCAGTCCTTCAAAACATCACACAACCAGTGAAGAATTAAAACAGGCAGCTTTGCACAGCCTCGGCTGTTATCAATAAACACCAGCAGGTGGCAGCACTTATTGTTAGTCAATGACGAGTAGTACCAGCATGAAACCAAACCACTGTAGTCAGAAATACACTCAAGAAAAACTTCCTGATATTGGTAGTAGGTAATATTAGTTTAGCTTAGTAGTTAGAAAAACTGGGTTCCCTCCTATATAGAATCATAATAAATGACCACATACTGTAGTAGTTGAGGTTGCGCACCCAGTTCTGTTTTGATTGCTCTCCACTAGGCATGTTGGGTGAGGGAGGCACTGGTCTTTTGGCCAAGAAATCCTCAATCACGGTCAGCGTGGACAAACTCTGACTGCAGAAGGGTGTGAAACAGAAATTAGATCTCAGAAATGTAAATGTAATGCAAAATACAACTGAACCAAATAAAAAAAAACAGCTGATAAAAGCTGTGAAAGGGACAAATTCATGTTTATGTTTGGATACAACTTTTTGTTGCACCACTTACTTGCATAAATCCTTTTTTTCCACCTCTTCAATCAGTTATTAATAATTTGCTAAATCACAAAAAATCTGAAATATTAGTGGCTGTCTGATCTTTTACCTGAAGATGAGGATTTTGTCACCCTTCCTGATGCTCTCCTCTATCAGGTGGAAGAGCAGCACCATCTTTGCAGAGTTCTCCAAGATGCCAGGTTTGTAGTCACACATGATGTCTTTTGCCTAGCCATGTGAAAAGATATGATTTATTTCAAATTACAGTTAGGTCTATGTAACGAGCAATATAACACAAAAAGTCATATGTAAAATTCAACGAATCAATGGGCCTAATTAAATAAAAATATACAGTACACCTGTATGACCTTTCATTTTCCTTTTCAAATTACTGTAGAAACTCCATTATTGAGCTTGCAATGGCTGATTTTTGACTGAAAAGTGCTGGATGTCTGTGCAAGACACAGAATGCATTCTGGGTCGGTCTTAGGCATGCTTCAGGCTCGTGGTGTGAACAAAACTGGAGTGGGACAGAGGGCAATGATCCCTCCTTTTTAAAGAAGCTGCCCTGTACAAAATCATCCTACTTGTGCTCCCCACTTACTCGTGTTATGCTCTGCTCACATTCTCTGCTAAGCAATAACTACTGCCTGGAAAATACAATGGTCAACGAATGACACAAGAAAAAATAAAGCAGTAATAAAAAAATAAAAAAAACTGTCAAAATAATAAATAATGTAATGTTAAGTTTCTTCCTTTGATATGAGTCATTTAAATTTCTCTTAACACAAGACTAGAATTTAACCCTGGGCAAAGACATCTCTAAAGCATCTCAATAAAAGGAAGAAAAAAAATGCTCTGCTTACAACAAGTTGAAAACACTGGTATTTGTCCTCATAGATTTATGTCACCAGAAGCAAAACTGTATCAAATGTGCCCCAAGAATTCTTTAATGTCACAACACTTTTGGAGCCTTTCAACTTACCCATTCATAGGTGATGACCTGATTGGCTTTCTCCTGCAGTTGGTTGAGACTCAGTCCACCAGTGGGGTTAGGATTCTCCAGGGGCTTGGACTTTTGATTTGGTGTAGGTAGACGTCGGCCGGGTCCTGTTGAAGTGACATCATCAAGGTCCAAGTCCTGGTCACTTGCCATGTTCTCCTTCTGTAAGGCCTCGTACAACACGTCTGGATGGTTCCAAATCTGAAGAATAACAGGAGATCAGTGGCACAAAAACTACTATAAATAAATGACCTTAAATAATTGTGGCAAATTTAAATTAAAAGGCATTGGTATCTGTATCTATCATGCTGATTAAAAAAATACCTTGGAAAAAATGTTACCATTATTTCTGAATCTAGACCAGATCCAGATTTTGAAGAAAACTACCATAGGTTGAGTTCATCACCCATGCCCTCTCCCTTACCTTGCAGCAGACACAGAAGGCCTTCAGCGGGTTCAGGCTGAGCCAGCCGGTGTTTCCTGCCTCTCTAAAGCGGGTCATGAACTCTGTGTAGAGTGCCTTCTGCAGTGGAGACAGACGCACCAGGATCACATGCTCCTCCTTAGAGGGCAGCTGGTCCTTCAGGACATCGTGGCCTTGTCTGGAAAAAAGACAAATAACATTCAATGGGAGGTCAAGTTATGTTTTCTGGGTCGTAATTGTAGGTTTAACAGGCGGCTGTCTCACCTCTGTACGAACCCCTCCAGCAGGCTGTGCAGGACGTGGCTCCTGTACCTCATCAGCTGGATGTCCTGAGGTGTGCTGTCCACACACTGCCCATTCAGAATGGGACGCTCAAACATGTTACTGAACTCCTGCCGTGTACCTGAATATGCATGTGATGTAGAACTGCAATTAGTCCTTTGAATGAAAAAACAAAAGACCTGACAAAATTTTTATGCTAAGGAAAACATCCCCTGAAATAGAATGCAGATCTTGCCCCTTACCAAGGAAGTCGGGCCGGACAAAGTCGACCATACACCAGTACTCGATCAGATTGTTCTGGAGAGGGTAGCCAGTCAGGACGACGCGACGTTGGGTTCGGATGTTCTTCAGAGCCTGGGAAGTGCTGGCAAGACAATTCTTGATGCGATGGCCTTCGTCACAGATCACCACATCTGGACCAGGTCGGGCTAAAGCTCTCTCGATACCTGGAGGAAGACAGGTAAAAATAATATTCAGTACTGGTGCATTTAAAAGAAGTATATGTCCATTTTTACCATCAATTCTCTGTTTGTTCATCCTTTACCTCACTTTTTTTAACCACCCTCTCCCCTTCATTTCTCACCTTTGAGCAGTTCTTGCTGCTTGTCATCTTCATCCAGGTCAATGGCAAGTCCTGTTGTTTTCTTGCTCTTCTTCTTTCTCCCAGGCACCAAACCTTTCTTCAGCGACAGGAGGCGGTACATCTCGTAACCCATCAGCAGCACGCCTCCGTCCCGTGCCCATTCATTCACCACCTTGGCCCTAGTCACTGTATTCCTGGGTAATGTAAGAAAGGATTACATAAGGTTTTGTTTGCGTTTCTCAAAGGTGAGACATATATCCATAAAAACACACACCGTTATTTCCTGTTGCAGAGAAAGTTTTGTTTCGTTTTCATTTTATGCATTGGTCTGTATTGGTATTGGTACTGTATTGGTCTCAGTGTAATGCAGGACACAGATGATTCACAAATCACTACTTGTAGTTTTAATTTTTACATATCGTCCCAACGTTTGCCCAATTTGGGGTGGCATGTTCTGTAAAACGATACCACTTTGTTTTCTAAAGCAGTACAGAAGTAGTGCAAAGTAAAAGTACTAAAATTTTACAAAGAGAGAGTTTCATGCAGAGAGCATAAAACAAATGGAAAAGCTGGGCAAATTTCTTGAATTAGAGGGAGAAAAAACATTTACTTGAAATAAATTACCAATTAATTACAAAGTGAGTAAAAATCTCAGTCAATCTTTACTCTTCAGAGTAGTGTGTGAACAGTAGGAACAAAAGGTTGGTAATTTTGTTATAATGAATTCTCATGGACAAGTTATCCTTTAACTGAAGTGAGAGAGAGAGACAGGATGAGGTTACTGTGTCACTTCCAGACAAGACTGTCATGGAACTGCATGCTCATTTTGCAGCACTCCTTCCATCCTTACAGCCTAATCCCAAACACATACACACGAGAATTGGAAAATCTTTGCAGCAGAAGCAGCTGCTGGGAAAGAGGATGATAAAGAGATGGTAGGGAGGACGAGCCAGATAGGGATAAAGCTCAGATGCAGGTCAGAAGGTCAGTTGAAAGTCTCCTCACTACTGTGCATGAATGTAACTGCAGCCAGTCTCCTGAGAAGACTTTAAAGTTAACACATAACCCTGTTGCATGCATATGCATGTGCATGGCCTGGTATTATTCACCTTGTCAGGATATAAATCTGTTTACACAGTTGCACTGTGGGTATCTGATGTCCTTATGGGGACAAAAAGCAAGTCCCCATACTGTAATCCACTACATTTTAGAGTGATGAGTTTAAGGTTAAGATAAGGTTGGATGTTAACGTTAGGGTTAGCCAAGTAATGGTTAATGTTAGGATAAGTCTACAGGAAGTGAATGTAAGTCAATGTAAAGTCCCCACAAGGAATGAAAACACAGTGTGTGTGTGTGTGAGAGAGAGATGAACACAGAACGTGCCCTACAAAATCTGAAAACTATATTTTATCATTATTTCATGTTTTCTTAAGAATCAGTAATACAAGATTCAATATAAAAGATGCAGGTTTTACACAGGAAAGGCTGGTTCCTGTTACTTACTTGTGTTCATCATTGAGGATGTGAACCTTAAAGGTGCGAGGTGTCACCAGTCCAGGGTCGGTATTGGGAGGTAACGCTTCCTGGGGCGGGACCCATGTGTTGAACTCTGACAGCCAGTTCTGCAATGTGTTAACCTGACAGACAGAAGAGAGAGGGACATTAGACTAGTGCTGAAATGATCAGCAATCAGGTGACTGACTTAATATTTTACTGTTCCAACTCATATTACTCACTTTAAACATCTGACGAGTAAAAACACCAAACGTGCTGATAATGTTGTTGCACCAGTGGAAATAAGTCATATGACTATTGTGAAATCTTTGACAGTGCTTTTGTCTAAATAAACAAAATGGCTTCAAAAATTCTGTTTTATATAACTAGATTTGAATTTTCTACTCATTCATTACCATAAATTTTAGGCTTGTACAAGATGACTTTTGCACCCAAGCACTTACTCTATTACCACTTCATTCACTATGTTTGCAGAGAAACATACTTCTGAGTCCCGTGGTGAGCACAGTGTGTGTTTATGGACTCAATCCTTCAGATTCTCTTGCATTCAAACTTTAAACCATAGGTGCTTACAGGTACGATGGTGAGCACGGTGTGAGCTTGGGTGTGTCTGAACAGGATGTCGATGAAGGAGATGACCTGCAGCGTCTTGCCCAGACCCATACTGTGAGCGAGGATACAGCCGAAACCATCGCTGCTACTGAAACGCTCCACCGACTCCACCAGGTTGTCGTACAGGAAACGGATTCCACCAATCTGAGGGCAGGAAGGCAAGAGAAAAGATGGAGAATGATAGGGACAAAAGGAAGGAGAAAGGAAAAGAAAAGAAAGTTGGCCCAAGAGGAAATCAAGAACAAGGTGGTAAAGAAAGAAGGTACAAATAAAATGAAAGTAGAATGAAGGAGGAAGAGTGGTGGACAGGTAAGTCAGATGACAGCAGTGGTGAAGAAGCAGGGCTGATATTCCATTAAAAATGAAGGAATTGACCATTTTACTGATAGTAATGTGACTCTATAGCTTGGTACAAAATCCACACCAAAGGAAGGATTTGGACAGAAAGAGAAAGGGTTTTACTTGTGGTGGTATTTTGATACATCCCATATATTTGGAGCTTGGCAGTAATATTACCTGGTGAGGTTTGACGACTCGTGCGAGCTGAGGCAACAAAAAAATGTCCGTCTCTTCAGCTGGATGATTCAGGTTGACCAGCACCCTGCCCTGGGCGTCCGGCCGGTTGAGGACATCGTTGGAGTGTACGCCACTTGGCTCGCTCTCCTCCTCCTCATTGGTGGACTCACTGCTGACGTGGACAGTGTCGTCCTCACCTGAGCTCAGAACAATCAGATCTGCATGGAAGCGGGAGACGAGAAACAGGAGGAATATTAGATCAAATGTTTCTAGTTCTTAGTAACTGATCCTCTAAATCCATGTTTAGAAAACACATCCAAGTCTGACAACAGTGAACTAAAGTGATTTAAACACCTACATAAGATCGATTGTCCTGCATCTAAGGCTGACACCCAGTGCATGCTGTGAGTCTATGTTGTCCCCTTCTCAACATATTCTAGCCAAAATTGCCAAAATGGGAACAATGAAACACTTTAGCGTCGTCAAACTTCACTGTAACAATGAGCATCACAAGGTCCCTTCCACATACACAAGTACAAGAGCATTTACCATTTACAACAGATGATTTAGCAGATTCAACATATGCATTCAAGTCAAGTCTACCACATCAGCTAAAAGAAATAGTGAAAAAAAAAGCTTTTCATACAACTTTAAATGAAAAGCTTTATAAACTTAAAATATTTCACTGTTTATTTTTAAAGAATTCAATAAACCTTGAAAGGTTTGTCACAGGATTAAGGAATGAACACTTGGTCCAGGAACTAAAGTGAATTTGAATGACCGAGTTTCTACAATATTGACAGATTTATTACATATGTATGTTTACAGCTGTGAGAGTTCAGTGTCGTGTTTGTATCTGAGGAGCTCTTTGACCCAAATTTGCATATGTAATGGAAGATGTTGCTGGTGGTCTCTGATTGGTGGGTTTTCCCAGGTAAACAAATACTGTATAGCGTTTATATGTACAGTGCTGTTTGTATGTTGCTGGCTGTTTGAATTGTGCCTGATGAAGGTCTGAAGGCCAAAATGTCGTCTTCGAGTTTTGCACAATTGGTGATCCACATTTCTCCACTTTTAACTCCTCTTCACACAGTTCTCTTTACCGGCATGCAGCACAACAGTTAATGTCACATCCAAAACTCACTAATGCAACCAAAGCTCATCTTAGGATCTGTTACTGTATCACAACACTGACAAAAAAAACTACAATAAAGTGAGTCCAAGTGACAAAATGTGTTTGAGACTCCTTTTTTCCCCCCGTTTACTTTTCAAATCAAGACTTTTGACTCCTGTCACAGACTTTCTGGTGTCCAAAAACCTAAAACAGATGAATGACAGAATTCAGTTGCAGCTTTCCCCATGAAAAAAAATGACTACTATACATTTGTTGCCCTTGAAATGTTAATCTCAAGTGACATGTCTCCATCACAAGCAGAATTTGTGTGATGATACTTTGTGATAATTTGTCATGGACGTCACTGTGTGTTTGCTTGGAGTAGGAAAAACTAAACCTGATATGAAGGACTTTGTCAATGATATCAAGTGGTGAAAGTTACACAAGCTGGCAAATTGTGAGAGCACAACGGGAATTAGAGAGGTGTGTGTGTGTGTGTGTGTGTGGAAATGAGTGAGAGAGAGGTTATATAACTGCATTGAAGTGCTGGTTATACAAGTAGGATTAGAGTGGAGGGGGAGAGTGGTTATGCAACCCCAACTAGAAATGTCACTGTGCCACGGTGGTGCAAGTGTGTCTGTGTGTTCATTATGCGTGTATGTATGAGTGTGTGGTCTGGCTCAGAACCTGGATTAGCTAGCTTTATTGCTCCACAGACCTGCTGTGATCTGCCCCACAGACACACTCTCCTTTCATCTCGCGTCCTCTCCACTCCCTCCATTCGTTTTTTTCTCTTTCTCATCTGCCAAATCTACATTTTATCTGTCTTTGTTCATTTGGTCATTCAGTCAGTCTGCTCCCCGTCTCTGTCCCTCTCACTCTCATTTGTATATATGGTTGTGTTGCGCTCCTGCGCATACGCCTGCAGTTTGTCACTGTCTTCTTTTGCAATGTGGAAATTTGTGTTTATCCCTAAGAAAATGTGTGTTTCTCCTTGACTGTTTGAGTGGCTTTGTGCATATATATGTTTGAGTATGTTTTGCACAGGGCAATAAGGGAATAGTACATGATGTACCCAGTCAAGGTAAATATTTTGTTGCACATGGCAATTAAACTCCAAACACTTCCTTGAGTTGCACAATGGCCCCACACACGCGCTGAATACGAAAATAGGAGACGTTTGACCTCGGGTGTTAAAACTGGCTCAGGGAGACTTTCAGTAATTGGGTTTATACGTGTCCAAAAAGCCTGTGGAGTTTGTTTATTTTTATGCCAAGTGCAGCTTCCTTCATCTTTACTGAGACAACAGGAAGGCTGAAATGAGAGTAGAAGTCACAAAAGAAAACCAGCAGGACTCGGACAGATCTAGTGGGTAGCATTTTTATAAAACACCTACATTAACTGTCTTTGTGGACATAATGTTTCATTTCAACAAACCACCAAGCAAGTGGACAGTGAGTTGTACAGAGGCACTTGTAGGGGATCTACTGGTTTCTTTCCTGTCAGTTATGTCAAAGTTCGCTTGTGTCAATTGTTGTGATAAAATTTAAGATGAATACAGTCCCATGTATCCACTCTGTTGTGGCTTCAGAGTATGTTTTTTTTTTACTAGAAATTCAAGCTGATGTGCCTGGGCTCAGAAAGCAATTTGAAACAGTGTGTAATTTAATAAACGCATGGCTGTCATAAGGCTATTAAAACTGCTTTGCTTAATCTCAAAGCGACTGATGCTTTAGAATGTGAGGTTTCCACCAGACAATGGCAAACTATTGAAACTGGTTAATCAAGTGGTATCCCGATTGATTGTTGCCCGAGTGACAGCCAGATGTGCCTCCGCATAAAGCACTGGACCTCAAACAGCAGCTGTGGATTGGCTTTTCTCAGCCATAGCTCAAACATCTGAACGTATGCAACAAAAATGTTTGAAAAACTAAAGAAAAATAGAAACACAAATGCCAGGGTCAGTGCAACTTCAGGAGTGTGTTATAAAAGTGAGGGGCTGCACACTGTCACTCCACTATTTCTAAAACCACACTGTGATAAAATGTTTTGTAATTTCACAATTGTGCAGCTCTATTCATTACTCAGTATTGAGATTCTCAACCCTGTGCTGCAGACTCTCACAGGGGGGTAAACATAGTCCAGTGGGTCCAGTTGGTAACACTTTCAAAAACCAGGACTTGGACTCTTTTCATACATTTCACTCTATTCCATAATCAACTTGATTCCACTTTATTATGCAAAAAGAAAATAGCATCAGTGTGATAAACCACAACATAATGTGAAACAGTTGATTTGAGATTATCTATTCTTCTCACATGAAATACACTACCAGTCAACAGTCTGGACACACTTTCCTAGTGAATTAAATGTGTGTCCAAGCTTTTGACTGGTAGTGTGATAAAATGTTTTAACTGAAGATGTTTTTGACTCACACTGACGTAATCTCTTCCTCCCTAAACTTTCAGCTTTCATCCATGCTGATCACAATACATCAGAACTCTATGATGCAGCATGTGGTAACGCCTCTCCTCTTTTCAGATGCCGAAGCTCTATCCATAGCAGTCCTGTTTTGTTTGAATGGAGACTTAATAGAATATTGACATGACAAAAAATTGCGTTTGAAAGCCATGAAGCTTTTGTCCTGCTTCTTCAAGGTCTAATAGTTTGTGCTGTTGGACTGTTTAAGCCCAAGGAAGCAATCCATGAGGAAGCTATTCAAGAAGTTGTGCGACACATGATGATGAATGGAGGAAATCATTTTACGTGCAACATATGATGATGAATGGAGGAAATCATTTTAATGCAATCTGGGTTGAAACAGTGAATCTATCTTTACATTTGAAAATTGAACCTAAAACTTATTCCACATGATTTGGGTCTGTAACAAAACTCTGCAGACGTTGTACTGTACCCGAGCTCACACTGTGCTGATTAGACATCTATGCTGACAGCTCAGATAAACCACTGGATGATAGGTCATAAATAAAGTGCACAGTCCTTGTCTACATGCTTTCATGACCCCCCAAACCTATGTGACCTACTAGCCCACTTACACGACCAAAAAAATACACCAAAGAGCAGCCCGGATTGGAGACCTGTGATGTGTCGGGCACAACTCATGCTCATCTACATTAAAAACTGCCAAAGCCTCTTCACTCTGAGCTGCACTGAACAAGAAACCCATCATAGCTCTCTACCAAATGATCAAAAATGTTTACAGAAGGCCATCCTTATCCTCCAAAGTATCTTTACTCATCTAGAGCCTCTTTCAGACATGCACCGGAACCCTGACCAGAGGAGTAATGCAGATGTTCAAGTCAGTTAACCTGGACCTTGAGTGGACTTTACCCTGCCAGCTCCCAAGTACACAGTGCACATAATGTTCGAGTGAGCCCATATAAGAACACGGCCACATATAGTCCAGAGTATTCACAGCAGATTCACACCTAGCTAGTGGCTGTGTTATGACTGGCACCGAACCAGAACAATATAAGCACCCAATGGTGAAGATGAATGGTCAATGACAATGTCCACAGAAATATCTAACTAGAGACATGACAAGATTCGGGAATTTCTGTTGTTAAGAATTGACACCAGAATCATCAGACACATTTAAGGAACAGCAAGAGACTTGGTTGTTTATGACAAAATTACACTATGGCTACGTGACGAGGTCATGTCACACCTCCTGCATGGTTTACCCAGACGCCTCCACCTCCAACACAAAACAAACCGAGTATTTACAGTAGGAGACAATGCAATGACATCTCCTGTTGTCAGGACCTTATTCTACAAATGTTGCTCAGAATCCATGTGTGAAAACAACTTAGGTTAGTGCTTTGATTTTTTCTGCATGTCTTCCTTTCAGTTTCCTGTTGTTTGTGATGACACTGGAGTCAATCAAACTGCAGAAAGAAATCCAAGGCAGCCTAAAATTCTTTCTTCTGGCTACCTCTTTGTATATGACAAAGCTTTGTGTGTGTGTCTCACCTGTTTTGTGTCTGCTCTCTGCAGTAAAAGAGGTGGATACATTAGTCTTGCTGTCATTGTCGCTGATGCCAGTGCTGCTGGAGTCCAGACAAATCACTTCCTGTCTGGCTGACTTCGCTTCTTGTGGTGATGCCGATAATGAAGACACATAGTTTGTCACATCACCTGGAGAGAGAAAGTGTAATGATGTGGCAGAAGAAACGAGGGACAGAAAGGAAAGAAAATAAGGGATGGGAGTCAAACAGAGAGGATGAGGAGAGGGAGGGGGTAAAGTCAGACAGTCTGTTCTTTTGTTCTTTGAAACACCACAAAAAATGACAGTAAAATGATTCAGAGGCTGAATAAAATCTACTGTTAAGATACTACAGCAAGTGGTTTTATGATGATTAGGATTAAGAACTGACATACAGGTAACAGTGTTAGTGTTTGATAGAGCAGTGGGTGGCTGAAAACCTCTAAAGTGTGTTTTGTGTGCGTGTCCTCACCAGCTGTGTACTCAGGCAACAGTGTTAGGGGAAAATCTCGTTTTCTCTGCTGCTCCAGGCGTCGCCTCCTCTCCAGCTCTTCCTGCTGGGCGGCTTTGGTCACTGCCTCCAACTGATGTTCCCTCAGTAACTTTCTACACAAACAAAGAAAAATAACATTGGTTTAAGTATATTAGTGTCTAACAACTCACACAGTATTTGTTAAAGGCTGGTTTCCACTGAACACATCCGTATGAATATGTCTTATCAAATCAGTGGTGTCTTTGCCTCTGCATTAATCACAATTTATTAAATATCAACATGGAATCAAATTACTCTGTGTGTTGTGAAAGGTGGGACTTGTAGTCATGAGTGCAAGAAATTTATTATCCAACTGTGCAGCCCCTTTTAGCCCAATGTTTTAGCATATTTACTGCCTGGTTGAGTCTCATGACTCTTGCTGGTTTTGTTTTCCAGATGCAGTACTGAGCTTTTTCAGCAAAAAAAAAAAAAAAAATAAATAAAGCTATGTTAAACCCAGTGTACACTACCTGCACTACAACAAACTGCAGACAGACATGGTGTAATTTTGGCAGCAGGAAATCTCATTATTGGAGACAGAAAGAGATTAGACTAATTAATCACTGCTGGATTTCTGTAAAAATTAGACACTTATATCGATCAAGAAGAAGGGTAGTTGATCAGTGCTGCCCACTCACATAAACACCTTTATCAGTGACAGGGCTAAAGGTAAGGAAAAGAATGCTCTGACACCATTTGCTCTGACATGTTTGCTATTAGCGTAAAGACTTATGTAAAAGCAACCGCATTCTTGAGGCTGAGATATATAATGGTTATTGGCAGCTGGAGGAACAAAGCTGTAGACTGAACATACATCTAATCACTGACAGAACTTATCAGTAATTGGCCTGCGCTTTAGTTCTTTATCATAAATCCTATTATGTAGCCAACTATGGGTGTTATTAGAAATACAATAAGCATTGAATAAGCTGAGTGAGTGTTAGTTTACTCAGCGCCTCAGCAGCATGATTCTCAGGGAACAGTGTAATAATCCCTTTGAGGTTGACGGTTACTTCTTGCTTAGCAAAGACTCATTTTTAACATCTACCTCAGCAGTGCAGTGAGGCTCTGTATCAACACCCGCCCAAATGTATTTTCTTTGCTAAACAAGGGAAAAAATCTGATTAATCTGACATCTGAGAATTTGTATTCATAAAACTTGCATTGACTCAGTACAGCCCACAAAGCTGCACTGTAATGCAGCCAGCAGTCCAGCCTCATACTGGTTCCATCAACGCCTGACCAGTATCAGACCAGTTTTTTTTTACAAGCCAATACTGAGGACTGTACCTGGTGGATGAAACAATTGAGAATCTGTATTCTCAAGATAATTTTAGATATGCAGTACACAGTATACTGTATATTGTTTTGTTAAATGAATGGTCTGATAATGGCTAGGTGGTGACTGATGAGACTTTATGTGCTGGCTGCAGTGAGTGCTGTACTGAGTCAGGTTTCTTTGATTAAAGGAGCGACATGCAACCTCGCTCTGAATATTTGTGTTTGTGTGTCCCGTATAATTTTTTGGGATCTTTCTGTGTAGGTGATTTCTAGACGCGTCAGTAAATTATGGATGGTGCTGTTGTATTGAATTGTCATTTACTGACAACAGCAAATATCCAAGCACCACAGATGAACATGAGCCTTGAGCTACATAAAAAAATACTGATAAAATGACTTTTTTAATCTTGTAAAACATACTTTGTATTCAGATTATTCATTACTTAAATAGTAACTAGCGCAACAATCACTTTCTAAGTAAAGGAATAATTTTGAAAATATATTTCATCTAAAACTCTAATTTGAAATGATAGTGGGATAATTTTTGTGTTTCTTAAGGATCCCTGGAGAATAAACAAGTCAGTGTCCACTGGAACTTTTTGACTGAGTGAAGATGTGGAGGTCAGTACCTGATGTTGCGTCTCATGTGAGCTGGTTTAGAGCTGCTCTTCTTGGTTCCTGTCAGGGCAGATGGAGGGGAAGGGCTTTGGCTGGCCGGCCTGGAGCAGGGTCTAGACGTGGGCTGGGAGCGGGGAGGGTGGGCCGGTGTCTCCCCTGAAGGTGAGGTAGATGGTGGAAGGGTGCACTGCCACGCGGCTGGATCACCTCCCTGAGCATCATTTTCGGAGGTGAAGGAGGCGCTGTGGGACTGGTCTGTGAAAGGAAGACAGGAAGAGAAGTAATGTGATTATAAGTGGAAGAAGAAGGAAAAGCCAGGTGCAACTGCAACTTAGGTTGCTATAAAAGGCAACATTTTTGTAACTAGTGCAATTTTATTGAAAGCAAGTGTCTGGACTCATGATGCACTGTATTTAATAATCTCCTTGAAAAGGGAGGTGCTTGCATCAGTTTGAGCTGAGGCAGGAAGGACTGATCATGTTTTCTGTGAGTGTACTAGTGTCATTTAATTAAGAGAGCTCATCTGGCCACCCTGTCTCCTGTAACTGCTCTGATCACCGATTATACTTGAAGTCACACACATATCATTTATAACAGTTAGTAAACACAAAGACATATGAAAAAATATCAGACGATGTGAACAATCCTAAGCCAGATTTATTGAGTCCTCCTAGACAAACACACAGCCAGGTTTACTGGAGCAGCACTGTATTATTTTACTATCATTCAGCTCTGTGCTGGTCAGTGATGGCTTAACCAGAGGTGTGGCTGAAACACTAGCATTCTTTAAAAAAAAAAAAAAAAAAAGGCAGTATGTGCATAGAAATAGTTGGACCAACAGTAGCCATGTTCAAAAAAATATTTCATTTTATTTTTTTTATACTCTTTTGTGCTATTTGTAACTTTCTGGGACAAAGCACATTCCTTCCTTCTTACCAAGACTAAAGAGTCAAGATATTATTAAAAGACAAAATCAAACTAAATTATTATATCATGGCCCAAAATTAAGGCACAAACCTAAACTCACCATCACTGCCGGTTACAAAATACAACCAGCCTAGTGACTTCCACTGTCTAATCGGTCTCCTTTCCTGCTTTAAAACATCGTGTTAGTCATTTATATAAATTCAGAGATGTAATAAAGAAATTGTTAAAGTTGATTTTGTTCCTTGCTCCTTTTTGTCTTTGAGTTGCTGACATCAATCTAATCCTGCCTGTTTGAAAGGTAAACCTCCATTACACTGGTTCAACTCATTCCAGCTGCTGTTTTCAACCACAGACTGAAGATTTTTATGTTTTCAAGTATATTCAAATTAACATTTCACTAAACCATGTTTGCAAAACAGCACAAAGAACATTCCTTTCATCCAGAGCCAAAGCACGTCATCACAAAACCATGACACTAACTCTTCTGATTGTCCTATTTTTGTTCTTAAGTGGTTTTCTAAACTCATTTTAATGTCTTTTCTCTCAGCTTGTTCTTCTCGTTCTTACTTTCACCTTTCTTCTTCTCTCCTCCTCTTTCTCAGTCGTCCTGCCAGAGGCACACTGAACCAGATCTGAGGCTTATGTAAGAGTTGGATCATAAATATGGACAACTTATGAAACACAGGACACACACACACACACACACTCTTTGCACATACTGTATATTCCATTTCTCCTGGGGACTTTACATTGACTTATATTCATTTCCTGGAGACGTACCTTTACCACAATTGCTACTTGTCTACTGTTACTGTAACTTGAAACCAAGTTGTCACTATACAATTCAACGACTTACATTATAAGGACTGCGAAGATGTCCCCCCTTACGAGTGTACAGGCTTTGGTGCACACACACACACACACACACACACACACACACACAAAATATGTGGGCTACTCTAGCCAAGTATCTGCCTGGGATGACTGGACAAACATGTACAGACTGCCAGCAAGCACACAATTTTCAGTTTCAACAGACGCACAAAGAAATGCACACATGACATTCACCGCATGACACCGGAGTTTCAGTTTCCCACATTATGAAAATGTGTGTACACACTCACACATAACGGACTATGGAGGCTGGCGATGAACTCGCAGCCATTCGGAAAAACAACTTGCGTAAAAACACTCCATCAGTCCATCTACGTGACAACAAACCCCTTCATCTGACTTCTAATGATGCTCAGTAGTTAGGGTGTTGGTGTGTGTGGTGTGCTTATGTGGCTCAGACTAGCATTTCAAAACAAATCACTTTCAGTCATTGTGATATCAAATTAGTTTTCACCCAAGAAGAAAAATGAGTAAATAAATTAAAGTCAATGAAGTCACAAACACATAAGAAATGACTCCCTCTATCATACCCAATCAGAGGTTGCACAGTTCTCTATGTTAATGACAAGGAATAGTGCATTCAATCTGCATCTGGATCAGCATCACAATAAATGCAGCAACTGACATGCTAGGCCCACACGTCCACTGTAACCATGATGTGACGAGGACCAGGTCAGAGCTTGTCGACCTAATAGTGATTTTTATATTTTGGTTCAAATTAATCTACACAGTTGCTATGCACAGTTCAGGGAGGTTTTCTCTGTGTTCATATTTTATTGCGTCCAAAACCTTATGCTATATTTTGAGCCATGCTTGCAGCTTGGCTCTACAGTATGATGAAAGGTCTGCTCCTCAGCTCAGCCAAGTGTCCCAACAACAACAACAACAACAACAGGATGGAATGTCATTTTTGTGTTTTAGAGAAAAAAGTTGCTTGACTGATTTTATCTGTCACATCAGCATGTTCAAGACCTCACTTCACACCTACTGGACCAGTGCCACCCCTGGCCACCCCTTGGCCTCACCCATGCTAGCAACCCAGATTCTTTACATGCTGTGAGGCTCCTGGAGGCTAAATCGTGCATTTAGCTTTTATTGCTCATATTAACTGCATCGCTCTTCTTTCATTTATTTCAGTAAAAACACAGGAAGCATAAAACACAATTTCCTATGCTCCATATGATAGTTTACAGAACAACAAATGGAAAAGCTTTCAAAAACTGTACACAATGTTTTTTTCCTTTAATAAAAAAAAGTTCTCATAAATGAAGATGTCACCAATTTGGATTAAATATTCCCTCGGTCATCGTGGCCTGTTTTTGTGTATTTATCCGTACCTCCCTCGTATTCTACCTTAAGGAACAGTTATATAACAATTCCTGAAATGCAGAGAGCCTCAACATCACAAACACAACAGTGAGCAATGAGTGGGCAGACGGGAGGCGACAGAGGAGGGGGGACACAGATGAAAGTAATGTCCATCATTCAAAGAAAAACACAGATGCAGTTTAGAGTGAGAGGAGGCAGCACACCAACAAACACACATCAAAAATCATAGCGGTGACACACACAAGTAAACACATGGGCATTGATTCTGGGTAGCAGGTCAGTTTTCTCTGCTTAGTAAGGTCAAGATCTGGAATCATTCATGAGAGAGACAAAGACAGATTTTACAGATGCTATGAAAAAAGATTTTAACAGCTGTAAAACCTACCTTGTGGGTACACTCACATATAAACTGTTTGCTGTAAAACTATAAAAAGTTGCATCGTGTCTCGATAATTTTTGGTATTTTTATTTATAACTGGTAATCGAAGGGCGGCTCGCTGAGCTGTTGGGTACATCTGCCTGAGGATCTTAGAACATCTGAAAGTGCTGATGTTTTTAAACTTTCCTCTTTAAATAATACCCATAGAATATTCTATTCTTTCTGTTCATCTATTTATTCATTTATTTTGCTGTATTCAGGCTTTATTTCTCATCATCTTTCAACTGGTTTATCTCAGTTTCTATCTTATTCTAATCTATTTTGATTTTTATAATTTTACATTTATTACATCTCATTTTTTATTCCTTATCTCTATTTGTTGAAATTGTTTTTACTATTCACATTTGCTCTGTCAGCCCATCAGTTATCTGACAAACGGTTCCAAACAATTCCATGAACCCGTATGAAAGGTGCTGTCAATTTTGATTTATTAAAAATAACAAATAATAATATAGTAAATAATACACGAGACAAAAATAACAACAATGATAATGTTTTGCAGGAGAAACTAACTAATAATTCTGCAGAAGATTTCTCTTTCCAGGGAAGATGAACGTAGGACGCAATGAAACATGCCACAGTAACAGAGCTATCAGCTACTAGCTCAAAAATTTAACAACCACTTTAATGGTTTCACCAGAGGAATTGATTTGTTTTCAAAAAAGACATGGGCCTGCGGTTGGCCATGAAAAGAGCTGGAAGAGGAGACAACCTTGGTATCAGCATGAGGCTGACTTTATGGTGTTTGGCCGCCGGTAATCCTTCTATGAGCTGATGATCATTTGGTGTGCATTAGTGCTATTGTAAGATTAAATTCTCTCCCCTGTTCTGCTGTTTACTGTGCAAAGCAACGTCAATCAAAGATCACAACATATTTGTGTACATTAACATGATAGGGAGTGTGACTTATAACATATAATCTGTTTACTGTAAGAAGCTTATTGCTATACATAAGCAGCATAATCACAAATTCAACACATTACAGGGAAAAAATAACTAAATACATGCAAATGGAAAACATCACCTTAGGGGTGGGGAACTGTAGTGGTGGTTCGTCACTATTTACTGACATAATACAAACTGCTAAATAGTTTAAAAATAATTGCTAATGTCTATAGTTAGAACAGACTGCTAATTGATGAGGATGGAACTAAAGAAATGTCCTCACCTTTGAGTTTTTATATTCCAGTGGCATGAGTCTCACAGGCTGACAATACAAGCAGGTATTCAGCCAATCACTTGTTTCTGTTTCATTGGGAAAAACTACTAACAAAATGATATTTAAATAGATGTAACAGAAAAACAAGTTTAATAACCTCAAGGATGTTAGTGTTCATTTCTATGCCTCTCTGTCTGCTTATCCTCATTATATTAATGTGTTGCCTGTCCAGGTGCTCACAGGATTAAACTCTACGTTGAGTAATTAGAGGAGATGTCAAGATGAAGCCGGAGCTGCGACTTGTGTTTCATAGAGCAACGCACACACATAGGCTTGCCAACACACACCTTTGGGGGAAATCTAATGAAGAACCTGGCAAATTGAAAAGCTCGACTTTTTCTTGCGTATTTTCACACGGATCCTTCACATTTTAGTCTTTTTTTTTTTTTTTTTTTACATTTTGTCAGTGTACAGGCATTTTCTTCCTGTGTTACAGATGGAAAAGAG